TGTGGCTGCGCTTGATGTGCATGATGACAAGTTGCTTACCTGTCTATTACCCACCACCTCGTCCATACTGGTTCCAGGAGACAGTTGGTCGTTGCTGGAGGGGACGGGGTTGCACGGTCCTTGTGGCCGTGTTAGGCTCGAAGAGTGGTTCCATGCACTCAGTGTGGAGCGGACTACGGTCCAGCCACCGCCTTGTGTGCGGTTGATTCCCCAAATACAGTGTGCTTGTGTTTGCCTGTAAAGGATTGTGGGCCGGCTCCGTTGATGAAACGTGGCTCCCATCCACATACCTCCCGGTCTTATTCCTTCTGGTGTACATTGCGTATGGGATGTGTGGTTGGAGCTGTGAGTGGTAGAGCGCAAGCCACCCATGGTCCCTCTGTAGGTGCAGGCGTCCTGTGGCTGGCCGCATTGGACTTCAAATCCGAAGCCGGATGCCGCCATCCATCTTAGTCTGCATGGTGTGTGAAATTGTTAGGTGTGACTGAATTCGTAAATTTGTTTGCTGTGTTTGCCATCGTATGACGGGATCAGTGGAACTCTTCGAATTAGATGACGTTTATGAAGTATGGATCATCCGGAAGCGGAAGAGGCAGTGACTTTATTGAGTGGCGATTCACATCCGCCACTAATCCAGATGCCAGCATTCGGGCACTTCTTGTGAGCTCACAATGCCAAATTCCTCAGGGACATGCATTTACGTCACCTGCTCCTCAGAAATGACTCATTTTTCATTTTACGTAAGGAAAACGTTTCTTCCAATATGTGTGCCACCCTTTCGCTAAACTTCTTTGTAAACGCTTCCCATGCGACGTCTGGGGCACTTCGCTTAATAGTCCAAAATGGATCCTTAACAAGCGTTGGATTACACGTTGTAGTGCGTGACTGTATATATTTCATCGTCCTTCTTTCCAAGGTATCTTGCAGAGCGTACACAGTCAAACAGTCGAATACCATGGTCATTGCGACCATGAATGTTTCGTTTGTGAGCACCATGTCAACTCTCGAGGGTCTGTTAGCTGTTCTATATCTGGTGGGCTTTTGCCTGATCGTTCAGATGGTGGTTAGAAATTAGCTCTTGCAGACAGGCTTCAAGCGGTGCGCCATCGGTTTCTGGCATTTCCGTGTCATGCACATTAAAGTATCCAGCAATAAAAATGTTGATGTAGGACTTGTTCGAAGCAAACTGAAAGCTTTGGTTCAGTTTGAAGTCCACTTTGGACGTAACGTTTGTCGGACGGTAAATTACGGCTAGTAGACATGTGTCCTTATTCTGCAATCGTAGGGTCACCAAAGTGAATCAGGCGCGCGGATTTCCGGGTGATCGATAACCCCATCAGAGGTTTGCATGATAATAAAGAATCACACCACCACCCCTTCCAATTCTATCGTTCCGAAGCATCGGCATGTCGGCTAGATCGATCTCAGAGCCGGTTGTTTCATGGTATAGCCAGGTTTCGGTAATCATGACGTGGTTCCGCGCGAATTATTTAAACTTGGCCAACTTACTAAGAGGGCCTTGGATGTTAGTGTACGTTCAGGATAGAACTTTTGTTGTTAACGGTGCGTTGATGGATGTCAAATTTGTGTCTGTTTTAATGCCTATCGTTAGGTGGCCGGTATTTCTTGGGTTGGCTGTAGGTTCATGAATTTTAGTCACTAGTGCTTCGCTCTTTCCTGTTGTGTGCCGAGGGTGTTTTTATGTCGATCTCTCTGCTGGACTGTGCAGACAAACTTTACGATGGTTGCAAGTTCCATCGATTTGTTGACCACCCGTGGCCGTGCGTCTGCTGCCTTTAGCCTGATCTCGGTTGACAACCTGGCTCGAAACTTTAACCAGTTATCCAATGCAACTTGCGTCATTCCTTCGAAGTATTATACTACTTTCAGTAATCTTTCAGTACTCATACTAATACTTATCACTGCTAGGCAACAAACCCTTCTCACTTCTCTGTTGTTGCAGTTGGACGCTCGGCTACGTATCATAACACAGTCCCGCAAATGGATTTGAAGCAAGAGAGTGCGGTACAAATCTGTCCATGAGATGGAGATGGCGTGCAATATATGAAGTGTGTCTTAGATGCTTTGGCCTGCTAGTAAATGGATCCAAGCGGCGGAGCGATATCTTCGTGCAATTCACTTTTCAGACGCAACGACAGACGACGTAATGTTGACCCCATGAGTGTGGCCGCACTCCATTGTGGGTGAAACACCACTTTGAATTTGACTCACACCAGAATTCTTTTGTTATTTAATTTTTGATACCATTGCATCTGTTTACCTAGTTTGTTTTTGGGTTATAATTAAATCCATTTGAATTATATCTGCTGCCTTTCCTTTGATACCAGGTTATAGCTATGTGACGATAGTGAGTTGCTAGTGAAAGTCGAGTCCTGTAGATTGTAGTCCTGCACATTGCTCAAGATGACACGCGTAAGCATCATGAATGCAACATCAGCCTCAGCAAGGGGCACACATACATACATGGCTGGCGGCATCTGGTTTCGGATTTGCCTGTCACTGTGGCCAGCCACAGGACGCCTGCGCCTACAGAGGGACCATGGGTGGCTTGCGCTGCACCACACACAGTTCCATCCACACACCCCATATCCAGTGTAAACCCGAAGGAATAAGACCGGCAGGCATGTGGATAGGAGCCACGTTTCATCAACGGAGCCGGCTCACACTCCTTCACAGACAAACACAAGCACGTTGTATTTGGGGAATCAAGTGTACACAAAGCTGTGGCTGGACCGTAGTCCGCTCCACACTGAGTACATGGAACCACTATTCGAGCCTAGCGCGGCCACAAGGACCGTGCACCCCGTCCCCTCCAGCAAGGACCAACTGTCTCCTGGAGCTAATATGGATGAGATAGTGGTTAATAGACAGGTAGTCACCTTTTATACATGCACGTCATGCGCAGCCACACCGGGGATATCAAACAACAGCCAATCATTCGAAATGCCGATATCGAATAATGTAAACGCTATGACGGCAAAAATACTCGCTAAATGAGCATATGGAAGAAATTGGTTATAAGTGAATCCGACATCTTCTTGAGCATAGACCCGCTACTCTTCTGTTTGCCCATTTCTCCCTTTGACTTAGCTCCTGGCTCTGTTGTACATAATTTTAGCCCGACACACTCAGTGTGTCAGGTTTTGCTGTTCCATCGTGCTTGCAAACGATTTGTCATCGAAGCGAAGTGAATCAACTTGCCTCGATCTGCCTCTTCAAGGCAACGTTGCATAACGGTGGCTAGGTAGAGTTTCGGTCCATTTCAACATGCCTTTATGCCATGCCAACTGATAGCGTTTCCGGCATGATTCAGATGGAATTTCGAGTAGATCTGCGAAATGTGAATCAGTTAGACGGAGTTAGGCAGACGAGCTTCGTTGGTTACTGAGTTTCAGTGTTTGAAAGTTATGAAGGCGTAATGTTTGCTTCGGAGTAACGATAGTGAATTAAATAAATACTTGCCTCATCCATGTTACTTAAATCAATGTTTGGATGAAGCGGCTGACAGTGTCCGTTATTGAGGCGCGTACAGCTCAATCCACCTTGATTTGAACTGTGTTTTGATCTGATCCTCGACCGTTCATTTGCTTACTGAAGGCTACGATTTTTTGCGAAAGCCAAATATCAGTGGGTATGCGGGACACTATTCGTCGATTGCGTTTGCCTCACGAACGTTATAACCTGCCGAAAAGAATTATTCCCAGTTGGATAAAGAAGCCCTGCCAGTTATATTTGGTGTCAAGGGTTTCATCAATGCATTTAGGGCAATTATTTCGAAATACAAACCGATCACAAACCACTGATATCCTTGCTGAGCGAGTCAAGGGGAATCGAGCAGATCTGTTCACCGAAAATGTAACGCTAGGCATTAATATTAAGCGCATATAAATATCCATTCTCCTGTATTCCTACGTTGAACAATCATACAGCGGATGCATTAAGCAGGTTACCACATGCGACCCCAGACGAAATACTGGAGGAATCAGTAGAGCTAGTACATCTAATGCAACACCTCGATGCCACTCCATTGACAGGTGACACCATATGTCAGCGGACCGATCGTGATCCCATGGTATCTTCTGTTGTACGATTTACAAAAACCTGCTGGCCTACTACAATCGCCGTCGATATTAAGCCTTACGGACAACGGAAAATTATATGAGCCTTCGCGATGGATGCCTGTTTTGGGGATCCCGCCTGATTCCACCGCTAAAGACACGGCCGTTCATCCTGCCAAGGCTCAATACAGCTGACAATAGTGTCAAATGACTCGGTGTACTGTCCTACCTATCCATATGTAACAATTATACATAAGTGTGGTAGGTATAATGTCACTACAGAGTACCGCTGCCGAAGCGCTAATGAAGATGTGACTCAAGGTGCTGCTCGATGCCCTTCGGACAGGTCCATAGTCTTCATGTGGCTAGAGTTACCGAGAATTTGATCAAGAATTCAGTCGATGAGAGTAAGTAAGTTTAAGTTCGTTCGAGTGGGAGCAATCAGCAGTAGCACGTACCGACGGGGCGAACTACGTGCTCAGCGGATCGGACGTATGGATCCGGTCTGTAAACCAGCTATGGCCTACAGTGTGTCGAGTAGAAACGGCGAAACCCGCTGGGCTACATTTTGACTTGTTTGTGGATGGTTTCAGCGTGTTGGGAAATGCAAAAAGCAATTCGCCGTCAGTCAATTCATGTCTGATCCGTAAAACAGACGATATGCATGAAATGCCTAAACATCACTCCAAACTGCTTGATTTGCATCGTGCTTTGAATATTCAAGCAAAATCTTCTATCTTTTCTGTGCAAAAATAGTCATTCCAGCAAATTGTGATCTTGCATCGAAGTTGCACCAACCTGCATAAAACGCGCTTTGTACAACGTACAGGTTATTTCAGGCCTATCAGTTGCATTGGCGATTAGTAGATTCTGCTGTTGAGTTGGTTTCATTTCAGTTAAAGCAATGAGAAAGAATATATTGCTCGGACATTTAGATGTATTTCTCGGATAGGAAGCACAATTGGTATCCGACAAAGTCGTTCTATTACTTGCAGCTGCATGTCTGCCTGACTTCTGACAGAGTTACGTCTGGTCTGGAGACGCTGTGGTAGCCTGTTTGCATCGATTGTATATTCTCCACTCATGCTGCCACTGACGCATTTCCTGGATTTCTGGATCCTTCCGTGTCTGAAGTGAAAACATGATTTCGCAAGATACATTAAATGGGCAGGGAGCGACAAGTAAATGAAGGAACTTTCTCAAAGCGTGATTGTCTATAGAGAAATCAATAAACCTGCGTATTGACTTCGATCCGTTTTATTACTAACTGCGGAGGCAAGACGCTAGGAAGGTCATTAACCACGTAATACTGAAAGAGGAGGCGGACGAGCTTGCAATATTCAGGGGACGTGAATCGATTAGGTTAACTTCTAACGTCAGTCACCCGTCGAGCAAAGATCGACGACTCATTCAGATAGCCTACTACGCATTGATTAAGTCACTCCGACTGGCGATAGAATGTTTAAGCAATATTGCACAGCTCGGAGAACAGACAAATTAGCTAGAATAGACAACTAGGCCACAAGCCTTCCCATTTATTACATGTTAAGTCATGCCACGATAAGCTTTATTTACTAGGATGTTTGCATTTAATGAACTTTGTTATCAATCGCTGATGGACTAGAATAACTTAATCAATGAAGCACATTCTCGCAAATTTATATGCAAAATGAAAAGGTGCACTATTCTCCTTTGATTGGACGGCACCTATGTGACATCCAATGTATCCGATGAAGTGCAGTCTGAAAGTCAGGCGGTATATCAACAATTAATGGGGGACCATAACCATCGCTCAAAAAGGAAACTAAAAGTGTGAATCACTTCTGCCCCGACTCCACAAGCAATTAAGTACCATCTGGCCTCGATATCGTTGAATTTACAGCCTAGCAGTTAAAGCTCACTTGCAGACAGGTCGTCATATTTCATCAATCACTGTATACACAAAACTGAAGCTCCGTAGCCTAGGGGTAACGAGCTTGTCTCGCAATCGTGCGGCGCGGGTTCGGATCCGCTTATGGGTGAGCGTCCTCGTGACATACTCAGCCCTCGTGCGACTAGTGGTGGTCGCACGGTAGCGAAGCGCCCTTACGGCGTACAGCTGACACATCGTTATTATTGTTATTAACCTTTTTGGTTTCACAAGTATATGGTGAAATGAGGGTCAGAATAGTTGTTGGTGTGAACTGCAATGGCATCGGAGTGCGCTACTGTGGCCTGAATCACTCGGCCGCTAACAATACTGGCCATAAAGCCGTGACGAAGAAGCGAACGATACCGTTAGTTTCCTTACTAACCGGACGATTAAAATCCCAAGTGAACACAGTGCAATTTTCGCATAGTTATAGCCACTGCTTACGCTGAGTAGGCTATCATGTGCATATATGCTGTGTTCTTATTCAGCAGATTGCGAGTGAATAACTTCATCTCATTTACGCCTCACTCCCTTTAACTCTTCGACACGTGCTGAATCGCGGATTAGTAGTTGCCATCACTCATGCTGATGACAAACTAGGGTGAAATAGCTGAAAATCTCCGAAATTTCTGAGCGGTTGTACCCGAAATCCACTTGAGAAGCAACGGCGGCAATTGCGTCTGACTTAACGCGACACTTTATATCATCCGATTTGTTAACTACGTGCACTAGCATTCTGGGTGATTCAAGGATTGAACGGCAAACCGACATACTGTGTAACCTCTCCAATACGACTGTATTTTCGTAGCCGCCTCATCGTCGGTCCACTGAAGGCTCAAGGGTAGTGGAGCTCTTGGCCGGATGGCCCACTCGGTAGCTACCCAGGGAATTTCCTCCAGCTTTGAAATAAGCTCTCGACCCGGTTCTACCCACGGATTTTTACAGAATAAGTAGACTGTGAGAAAGTCCAGTCCGTTGAATCCGAATCGACGTCGCTGTGGATTTGGGAAGAGAAGTACCATACACGATAAACCGCAGTAAATTCGACCAAAGCTAATCCAACTACAACAGCTGGCTTTCAAAAAGGACACTGGGGTAGGCATCTAATCAGCCAGTGAAGACAGTAAGAATATTTACTGCTTAAACATCACTGAATCCGAAACCGGTTGGTAAACGGATTGACAGATGGGCTTGGAATAAGAAAGAGTGTGTATCACAAGATAATGCACACTGAATAAGCAGAAAAATGACAATTCTCCTGCCAACAGCAGCAGCACGACACATTAGCATTGAAGCCGATTCTACGCGGACTTATCTTTGTTTCCATGTTCAAGGTATACTGGATCATTTTTGAATTATTTTACGTTCAATTCTTTTCTGCTGTGAAATTTATTCTCCATAGGTTGATCAATCTTTCACTATAGCCGTCTGGTAATTCGCACTATCTTTCATCCCTGTCGTGCAGATAACTGCGCAACCGGACTCAAATGAAAGCAAGTGTTCTGGTCGAAAATACTGCACATGGGCTATTTCAATGTTGTCAAAGTATATGCAACAAAATTTCGGGAAGATGCAAGCCGTGAACATCCTGTGCATTTTGCAATCGTACTTGCTACGAAGTCGTTTAGCCGATGGTGCGCTATTCTGAGGACAGAAGGGAGACCTGGAAATGTTTTGCATTGATCATATGGATGATTACGCAATCAAAGTTATTGCTGCTTATCGTATGTACTTTGCAGTAGACGGAAGAGAGAGACCAGCTCAAGGATAAGTATGAAGAAATTACAGTGAAAACTTTTGCAACATTGTGAAAGCCGGGAAATCCGACTTATGTAGCAGTAGAATCACGCAGCTCCTATAGAACAGGAGGTGTAATTATTTTGTGCCTGACTCAGTTAAATTATTGGGTGCTGCCCGCCTGAAAAACCGTGTTACACTGCTAGTTTAGAACTTATTTGGTCTGCTCAGGTATATATAGCATGCTCTGAATCAGGGACGATAGGGATATAGTATGAAATCTTTGTATCTTAAGTTACTTAGTCAGGACGGACATAGCTTGGCACAGAGTTTACTGGCTTGTTGGAGAGTGATTTTAATGTGCTCGTTGTGTTACCGGATTGAAACATGCAGTCACAAAGTAAATCTTGCTCTTTCGATCACGAGCACCGTAGCTGAAGCAGACAGAAAATGGATGCTGCTCACCCGATAACACTGCACTGTTATGACGCGTTTCGATGTTATTACATATCAGCAGATAGAGAGAGCAAACGTCGAATCCGAGACCATTGGGATGTTAGTTGTGACCGCTATGCCTAAGCCACCGGGTCACGACAGACAAGTCTTAACCCAACGGTTAATGATGGATTTTGAGGGTCCTTTTGAAGTACACGTTGTTTTCGGATAGATTGTGACGTAAAATCTCAATTTGGACTGCGAATCTCATTGAAATGAACCTTGGTCATTCCATCACTGAAGCAAATAGAAATTGAGTGTTAGAAAAGCTTTGGTCAAAATGAGTGCATAAGCAAGAGAAATTGCTATTGTTCACACGTCCTTGACACGTTTCCGCAAAGGCCGGAAGCAACCGTAAGCAAAATTCAGGAAGATAGGAAATTCGAACTTGTTATACTTTTGAATGCAGCGTCTGTAGCTTACAAAATTCATACTAGATAATAGCGAAAATATTGTTGGTGGTGCTTCGCTTGCAACAAGCAGCAAACTGGGGGTATAAAATCCTTTGTCGTAAAATGCTAATAAATCGATGAACTCGATAACATACTACACTGAAATTTAGAAAGTTGGGGGTATGTGAACGCTTCTGTCACTGGTCATATCACATAGGCCAACTGGAAGTCCGCATCAAGCGGCTGTCTCATCCTTATAACCTTGGGCTGGAATAGAGGTTGCGGGACTGAACTAAAACGCCTAACGCCACCTGGGACTGTTATCTAGTTTGGTGCGAACATCTACCATTGTAAGGTTCATCGGTCGAACGTTGAAGTACGTGTAGCCAATGATACGAGAAACAAAACAAACTGGGATCGCAACAACTACGGTACTAGTGACACACATACACTGACACAAATCGGACAAATCTCGCATCTAGCCGATACAGGAGACGCCATAAAGTTCACTGATGCTTTCAAAATGTTTTATCAGGCCCCAAAGAACCGTTCGAACTACGTCCGCAAGCGAGTGCTAGAAGCAGCCGAGGTAGTTACCATCCGGCTGTATGAACCGGAGTTGTGTGTTCAAAAGTAGTTAGCTAAAGGCTTGGGACTACCCTGGCCCAAACGGCCGGTGACATCTGACCTGTGAGGTCACACGCGGTCGGTTGTCGTGACTTACCAGACAGCACGGTCAGTGTCCAATTAACTCGCTCTAGGAGTAACGACTTGTAATGTCTGTCTGCACATTTTGATTTGCATAAAATTGTATAAGCCTGAAGAGAAATTATCGTAAACATATGTTCGCTTACCGTGACTTCTGATCAACTCTCAATTGTTCGGGGTCCCGGTGTCTGCGTCACCGACTAGTGCAATTACACGTATGGGCAGGAAACCGCTTTCACAACCGATCAACGCGGAATTTTCAAAGCAAGTGAAACCACACGAAGTTGTTCTAAGAGTAGACCACTGACCCAATTACAGCAAAGGTGAACTGTGAAATTAACCACATACAGGGTTGCACAGGCCAGGTGCCAGGCAATGTTACAATCCGCACAGATCAGATGAGGTGTAAACGAGTGCTGTAGCGCGGCACAAGGGCAGGTGTATGAGAGTAGCGTCTAACAATGTAAGCCCATGCGGTGGGGAAGGGTAGGAATAACTCCGGGTTAGCTGTTGACACGGACAGCGTGCTAGTGATCGTCGCAGTGATGAAGTAATTTCATGAAGCGGAACGAAGGTAGCGTGCACGTGATGACGTGGGGAATTTTCGAATCAACGCCAAACTGCGCTACAACCATGGGAGTATTGCCCAGCGCATAGAATACGCTATGATGCAGGTTTAAGTATTCTTTTTCACTTCCATTATCGTTCATAATGTACATCATTCCGACTTTTAATTAGATAAATCACTAGAGGGATACTACTCTACTATATGAGAAGATGATCCAGTGACTAACCTGCATCGGAATTTCATGATGGGGCAGGAATAACACAGGAAGGAAATGGAGGTCAGGTCACAGATGACTCCGAGAGCATAAAACATCTTCTGTAGTTTTCTAATTTAATCAAAATCAGCAGAAGTTTCCAAGTGGACGACAGATCGATTAGGTCCGACCAACCAACTAGGTCTAGTTCGACATTAGACCACGACATATAATAAGAAATTATACCATAGGACAGATAAAAAGGGTTATGAAATGTATGTCAGTGTGGATAACTGAAAAGCTGAGCCAATGAGGTATATTGCATATGCCACAATTCGTTCGCATTAAATAGATATGCGAATTAATACTTAAACTTTGCGTTGATATGCGGTCCTAAGCATCTTAATATATGTAGCTACACTGACAACTTTTCTCAAGTGAGCGATAGCGCTAGAAGGACAAAAACAAAGCAATTTTACTGTTTAGTTGATTTAAAACAAGTTTCACTCTATTTTGCGACCTAAAGGAGGGTGCGAAAAGCAGTAAATTTAGGCATTCTTGTTAAAATTACAATTTCGTCTGCAAAGCAACTGCAAGACCGGAAGAATACTGTAAAACTCTGACTTCTACATGAAATTGTGAAACTATATTTTTTCATACTGCACATGTTTGGTCAAAAGTGATTAAACAGGTGTACGTATTCAAAAGTGGTGTAATGAACGAAGGAATATCGTAACTTTGATTGGTTGGTCTTAAATGATAGTACTACAATAAAACCTATAATTTCATTCCGATTCTCCAAGATGTTATCGACAAAGGATCACCATAAAGGTACAAGCCATAAATTAAATTTCTTCCATTAGCCATGAGAATAATCTTAGAGCTATATTGACATGATTGGCATTGATATGTTAGCCCGTTTGAAGTATTAGTTGACCCACTGGTGACTATTTACTTGGATCCCTTAAGGAAATTCTGCGAAATTGAACAAAATTGGCTAATTTTATGTGTTTACTAATTTAGATCTGGTCCGCCATTCAATTTCACATGTCTAGAGCCAATAATGAGTTAAATATCGGGGAGAAAATACAGTTGAGAAGACTGTAACGTCCATTTGGCTACTAGCGAGTTATGCAAGACCTCGAAGACCAGGGTTCAAAATAGGTTGTTTTACAAATATGGATGAAAATATCATCACCCGTTTTGATATATCTCGGTGTCTATCCCGCATCAATTTTAGCGGTCACTCTCTGTTATTTAATGGGTTAGAGTTATTTACAAAAGCTGACAATGGGGCCAAAATATGGTGCCAACAGAACTCAGTAATGCTTAGTTGCCTCCGTGTGATCGCGCCAGTTGTTTGGATGTCCACTGCTATTCCAGTGTGCCAGGCAAAACAAATAAATAGTCATAAGAGACCGAAACTGAGTTGTAAGTACGTGGGAGCTGGTTTTTCAATGCATCACAGAAGCAGTAACTTACAGACGCAGAATGGGTCTTAGAGTCAGGTAAGTGAGTAGTTACGTAAAGATGGTCAAGGTAAATTAAATTGGGGGGGGGGGGCAAATATCCGAAAGTCCAGCTAGGCGAGGTGACACTAGGCCACACTGAAAAATGGTGAGCCTTCGGTTCAGTTTTGCTAAATATGAATACTAACTATGCTAACTAACCACTGGTTTCCAACGCTCTCAGTCCACCGGTGTTTCCACTGGCGAGTTGAGCTTTCCAGACAGATAAACGGTAAGGGGTAGAATCTAGATCCTGCGTCTCAACCTGTTGCTCTCTCCGTAGTCTATTTAAGGTCTAATTGAACTGCATTTATCGCAAATTAGCAAAGTAAAGGGTTGAAACCAAACGGATTTCAGCAATGAGAAAGTTGGAGACAGTGCGAAGTGTCCAGTA